TGGATGGCCTGATGGATATAGCTCCTAAATGATGTAAATGTTTCATATTAAGTGTAAATAGATGTCGAGGATTTAATTTTGACTATTTTCTTTGTCAAAATTGGTGGGAGAATCTTAAAACTATATGATTTGCATAATGTAATTTTCATAAGATCATTTGTATAATATCATCCGCAAATCACGAGAGCCAATCAGGTGAGACTTTGAACGGGAAAGGAATGTATAAAAGGCACGGCAGGATGGCCGGTGCAGAGTGGGGATTAGCAGAGTGGATGTTGGCAGATTTGGAGATTGGAAGGAGATTGTTAAGAATCTGATTGTGAAAGAGAAGTACCTAGGAGGTGCATTACTCGTGCTCAGGATATTAGAGCCTAGGAGGTGCATTACTCGTGCTCAGAAGAATAAAGTGATAAAGAAATCTATGGGAAGCCTCTGGTAGAAGTTGAAGAAAGAGTGAAAGAGCTCAAGTTGAGAAAAGGCCCTGTTGAAATTGAAGAAAAGGAAAAAGCTAAGGCTGGCAAAGAGGTGATTGGCATAATAGCCGGATACTTGCTCCAACTGATATAGATCTAATTTTGTGCATAATTCATCATAGAAAATAAAGCCCATTATATTCGAGATCACCAAATCCTGTCGTTCATTTCCCTCGAAAATACCACCTGCCTATCGCTGCAATAGTTAGACATAAAAAACTATATATTTAAATTGGTCATTTGGTTATTCACAGTTTTCTAAATTACTTCATTTTTTTCTCTATCTTTTCTTTATTCGCAACAGAGGTGTTCTCCCAGCTCGCGGTTGCCGAGGCGTAGTGAGGCCGCCACACTACTGCCCGTATGGGTATGAAACTTTGTACCAGATCGCGCTCGTTGAAGCAAAGTATGGTAGCCACAATAGAATTTGTCATTATGTGAAATACATTTAATATTTAGAGAACTCTACCTTTGATTCTTTAACCATTGTTTAATTTCATTAATTTAATTAGAAAGGGGGGTTGGTGAAAGGATGGTCTAAATTGTTGGTTTTCGACCGCTATAACCAGGGTTCAATTCCCGCATTGGACAATTTTTTTTCTGATTTAAAAAAAATGCTCCAATGGCCCTCGATTCTTACAAAAGTCCAACCCCACCACCGATTGCAAGTAACTAAACGGGGTTCTAGCACATTTGTAAATGTAAAGTCGAACTGCTTTTCACATGTGTAGACATGTGGTGTACTTACAGTAAAAGTAGTCGCTAACTACCCACCAGGATTATCATGGCCTGTATCATGTGTAGACATGTGGTGTACTTACAGTAAAAGCAGTCGCTATTAGCCACCAGGATTATCATTGCCTATACCATGTGTAGACATGTGGTGTACTTACAGTAAAAGCAGTCAATAACTACCCACCCGGATTATCATGGCCTGTACCATGTGTAGACATGTGGTGTACTTGCAGTAAAAGCAGTCGCTAACTACCCACCATGATTATCATCGTGTTTTGTACCACGTATACTAGGGATAGGGAAAAAATAATAATAAATAAATTTACTCTTGATTATAAATAAACGTTCTTCCCTGATTAATAATATTATAAAATAAATGAAGCTTTTGTCCATGAGTGAATCCTTCAGAGTTATTGTCTCAATCCCGATATACATGCTAAAAGGTACAACTTCCTTAAGTTTTGTCCATTAGTTTATCTTTCGGAGTTATTGTCTAAATCCCGATATACACATGCTAAAAGGTACAACTTCCTTAAGTTTTTTTTTTTGTAATTATATCATATTATAATTTATCATATTTGTACTATTTTTTCCTTAAGTTTTGTCCATGAGTTTATCTTTCAGAGTTATTGTCTGAATCCCGATATACATGCTAAAAGGTACAACTTCCTTAAGTTTTGTCCATGAGTGTATCTTTAAGAGTTATTATCTGAATCCCGATATATATATACTAAAAGGTACAACTTCCTTTAGTTTTGTCCATGAGTGCAATAGAATCTTGGCCTTAAATACCTCTTCCATTATTTTACAGGAAGCTTGTCAAAATGTAAGAGAGGTACAAATAATTTTATTCACTTGTACATTGACACCTAAACCAGTAAGTGATGTGGTGATGTGACAGTTTCCTCCATGGAGCCATCTCCACATGAACGACCGCACAGGAAGACTGGAGGTGTCAGGAATTCAGGGAACTCTGCTACAGTATCTACAGGAGGGAGTTAAATTCAAGTAGGTGGGGCTTGTAGAACTCGTGTCTATGTGCTGTCTTTATGGGTGTTACACTCATTGACAAAAGGAAGTTGTACCTTTTAGCATGTATATCGGGATTCAGACAATAACTCTGAAAGATACACTCATGGACAAAACTTAAGGAAGTTGCACCTTTTAGCATGTATATCGGGATTCAGACAATAACTCTGAAAGATACACTCATGGACAAAACTTAAGGAAGTTGTACCTTTTAGCATGTATATCGGGATTCAGACAATAACTCTGTAAGATACACTCATTGACAAAACTTAAGGAAGTTGTACCTTTTAGCATTTATATCGGGATTGAGACAATAACTCTGAAAGATACACTCATGGACAAAACTTAAGGAAGTTGTACCTTTTAGCATGTATATCGGGATTCAGACAATACCTCTGAAAGATACACTCATGGACAAAACTTAAGGAAGTTGTACCTTTTACCATGTATATCGGGATTCAGACAATAACTCTGAAAGATATTACAGGCGACATCAAGGACTTTAAACTTCCTTAAATTTCATCCATGAGTGAATATATAAGGACATTTTTCTTTTAAACATTCTATATCCGTTTTGATAGTTGATATGTTTTTATGTGAGTGGTGAATGTAAATTGGTATACGCGCGCTCGTAGCTTGTGTAAATAAGATTTTTGATCAAGCTAATGCGTATGCCATGTTTCTTAGTTGGTATGGCTAATTTATTGGAGGATAATACTTTTTAGTTCTTGGTCTTGTTACTATGGATTGTTTTTGTTTTCGTGGCAGTTATGGATCCTGGAATAACTCGATTGACAATATAATCAATAACATGGTCAATGGATCAAATATTCAATGTTAAAAACTGGTATGTAAATAGAGACAAAAACAGATAATCCAATGTCGAACCCTTGGTTTGATCATGATTGTTACATAGCGCAAAGGACCGTGAAAGAAACTCTGGCAAAATATACCAAATCTAACAACGATTTAGACCGTTTAGAATATGATAAGACACAAGGAATAAATATACCTCGATTATCAATATTAAAAAGGAAAAATACGCTAACCTATGTACGGTGTGGCCACTGGACATGCGTCGGACCTGGAGGCTGTTTTTGGGTTCTGTGCTGTCTGGAGTATAGGAGCTCTATCTATGCTTCTTTCCTGTGGTGAATCTGCATAAGACCCTGGAGGCTGTTGTTGGGTTCTGTACTGCCTGGAGTATAGGAACTCTATCTATGCTTCCTTCCTGTGGTGAATCTGTATAAGACCCGTGGTCTTAATAAAGCTGTATGTCGAATGAAGACATTAAGGCGCGAATGTTTCTTTTCATAAATAAATCAAACTTCTACTGTCTTTATTGCGATGAAAAAATATTGGGAGGTCTTGACTCATCAGTGGTGAACCCTCCCAGTGGTTTCTCCAATTTAATCTACCAGACCGCTTCTTTAGAGTTCTAATACTGCATTGGATCATTCTGTTTATACATGCTACACTAAAGGATGGAATATTGCGAGGATAATGCTCTTCATTTATTTGTGAAAAGAAACATTGGTGTCTCAATGGCTTCATTCGTTATATATAGATGGTGTGTTATTGCTTTATATTAATTTATGTCTAACTTGTCCTTATTGTTTGTGGAAGAGCATTGCTCGATATTTATATGTAATTATACTATCCTAAAAGCTTATATCCATAGTGTACTTGAATACCATTTCTAAGATTCCACCCTTCAGTGTAACATATAAAAGCAGAATGATCCAATACAGTATTAGAACTCTAAGGAAACGGTCTGGTAGATTGTATTGGTGAAACCGCTGGGAGGGTTCACCACTGATGAGTCAAGACTTCCCAATATTTTTTTATTGCAGTAAGGACAGTAGAAGTTTGATTTTATTTATGAAAAGAAACATTCGAATCTTAATATCTTCATTCGTTATATATATGTTATATAAAAATATTATTTTATTTTAAATTATAATTTTATAGATTCAAATACTCTGTTAAATCTACCGTCAGAGGTCACTCTTGCCCTATAAAAACTCGTTGTTGTTCTATCCCAATGGCCGGCTCAAAACCTTTGTACATTATGTAAATATTCTTTTGTTTTCTTTGTTCTACTCGCCTTAAGCCAGGCAGTACTTTTACCAAATTATGTATTCATATATATTCCTGAGCTCAAATAAAGTAATATCTGATCAAAACCATATTTATTATTATTCTTTCAAGATTTTAACCACAACTACATCACCATTACCATAATCCTCAACATGATTTAAATACAAGCAGAAAATATATTTTCTTTATATAAGATATTTATGGCGCGTTTTTGCTTTGTATTAATGTGTGTGGTTATTGGGGCAGTTATAAACATGTTGTTTAATTAACTTTGTGTTTAAGATGTGTGTAGCTAATGATTTATGTCCAGCTACACTATAATATGGTCTTCAGACGATGTGTCGGGCAATCTACAGCCTGACGGCAGATATAACGGCATCATTGGAGTCCTACAGAGTAATGTAAGACTTCCATATTGTAAATATATGATATAAAATACAATATAATGCGGCTTATGATTGTAAAACGACATTTGAAAATTATCCCGTATGTGTTTCTTTTAAACGAAAAAATCGAAATTTATTTTTAAGGAGAAATAACGAATATTTCTAACCTTAGGAATGAAGTATGAAAGGATGAATTGTGAAGAGTATTGATAAACGGGAAAATAAAGTGTCCAGGGATGGGAATTACATCATATAATATTTACGAACGGAAAAATATGTCCTGGGTAGCATAGTGGACATGATATCTTCCTGGTAAGCGGATCACTGTGGGTTCGATTCCCATCCCTAGACACTTTTATTTTTCCGTTTATCATTACTCTTCACAATTCATCCTTTCATACTTCATCCTTAAAATTAGAAATAATCGTTATATTTCTCCTTAAAAATAAATTTCGATTTTTTTCGTTTAAAAGAAACACATGCGGGATAATCTTCAAATGTCGTTTTACAAATATATTATTATCATTTTGTATGTAGGATTCTGACATCGGTCTTGGACCTCTCCACCAGAGTCTGGAGCGCTCAGCTATCGTGGACTTCTCTCCTAGCTATGTCTTCAACCCGGTGTCCATGTTGGCGGCTCTGGGAGCTCAGAAACCGCCATCTCTTGTCTCTCTACTCGGCACTTTTGATTCCTATGTAAGTCTGGTTGACCCGTCTAACTTGTCTCTTGTTGGAATGTATAGCAGGGCAACAGAGGAGTTTTGTTCAGTTGCACGATAAGGAAATGCCATTTACTTAATTTATTCACCTTATCTCAGTACAATTTTACTTTTGCACTATTTTTTAACGTTAACAATTTTGTTACCCGCCGCGCCGTTTATCTTCCGTGTGGCAAACCCTTGTAGCATGTGTATATTTTTGTTCCTTACGAGGACAAAGGGTTTTTGCTTGAAATTCGAAGAAGTAAAAATATTATATGGCCTAAACATTTCTATTAATATAATGAGATTTCATGTGCTATGCCTTAACATTAGAGACTGTCTGAATGTCCAGACTTGGAGCGGAATCTTCGTGTCCCTGGTGATTGTCTCCTTTTTAGCTGCTCTCAGTCAGCCGTTTGGAGGCTGGAAACGGTCATTGGCGGATCGACTCTTCGAATACCTGGGGCTTCTGCTGATGGAATGTGAGTTCTTTGTTGCACTGTGTTATTGAAATGGCAATTTCTTGTGGTGGTGGTGTCTTCCCCACTCCATGGAAAGAGAGGTGCCATTGCCCCGTTAGTCAGCCACATTTCAGAGTTCACGTTTACCGTAGCGGCTCACGACACAGTACTACAAGGCAGTCCCTTACTTGTGCTGCTTTTCCCCACGTAGAGGAGGACTTCTGGGCGTGTATTGTATTTGTTGGTGGTAGTGTCTTGTCCATGGAAAGGGAGGTGCCCCGTTAGTCAGCCACATTTCAGAGTTCCCTGTTCACAGTTACCGTAGCTGCTCACGACACCGTACTACAGGGCAGTCCCTTACTTGTGCTGCTTCTCCCCACGTAGAGGAGGACTTCTGGGCGTGTATTGTATTTGTTGATGGTAGTGTCTTGTCCATATAAAGGGAGGTACCCCGTTAGTCAGACACATTTCAGAGTTCCCTGTTCACGGTTACCGTAGCGGCTCACGACACCGTACTACAGGGCAGTCCCTTACTTGTGCTGCTTCTCCCCATGTAGAGGAGGGCTTCTGGGCAGATGTCAGTTTCTTGTGCTTATGCTATAATAAAATGTAAGTTCTTCAAGCCTGTATGCTAATGGAATGCGAGTTCTTTGTGCCATTGTGAGCTGATGGAATGGAGCTGTTCTTGAGTTTTTGAGGCTACTGATCGAATGTGAATTTCTAGAGATGATCTTCAAGAAATGTGATTTTCTTGCATTATTGCAGATGGAATTTAAGTTCTTAAAGCTTCTTAAGATAGAAATTGAGCTTCAAATGATGATGCTCAAAGAATGTGAATTTCTATGGCAAATGCTATTGGAATATCGTAGATCTAGTAGTGGAATGCCGGTTTCTAGAGCTTTTGCTTATTGAATATGAGATACTTTGAATGATGCAGATGCAATGGGTATTCCATGAGCTGTTTCTAATGTCTCTCGTGTTTCCGTGGCTGAAAATGATTAAATATGAATTTCTGATGTTGAAATGCATGTTTCTAAGGGCTGATGCTTAAGAAATATGAATTCGTAAAGATTCTTGGCTAGTTTGAAATATAATTTGAGGTGATGGGACTTTTTCTTATTGTATGTAAGCGTATTTCACGTTCTTGAAACTGCTTCTGATAGAATGTGAGTTTTTGAGACTAATTCTGATTTAAAGAAGGTTCTAATGTAATATTAATTTCATCTAAGTTCTGTGGGATGCTACTGGTGATATATATTCAAAGACAGAACTTAAGGAAGTTATACCTTTTAGCATGTATATCGGGATTCAGACAATAACTCTGAAGGATACACTCATGGACAAAACTTAAGAAAGTTGTACCTTTTAGCATGTATATCAGGATTCAGACAATAACTCTGAAAGATACACTCATGGTCAAAACTTAAGGATGTTGTACCTTTTAGCATGTATAACGGGATTGAGACAATAACTCTGAAAGATACACTCATGGTCAAAACTTATGGAAGTTGTAACTTTCAGCATGTATATCGGGATTGAGACAATAACTCTGAAAGATACATTCATGGTCAAAATTTAAGGAAGTTATACCTTTTAACATGTATATCGGGATTGAGACAATAACTCTGAAAGATACACTCATGGTCAAAACTAAAGAAGTTGTACCTTTTAACATGTATATCGGGATTGAGACAATAACTTTGAAAGATACACTCATGGACAACACTTAAGGAAGTTGTACCTTTTAACATGTATATCGGGAATGAGACAATAACTCTGTAAGATACACTCATGGACAACACTTAAGGAAGTTGTACCTTTAAGCATGTATATCGGGATTCAGACAATAACTCTGAAAGATATACTCATGGACAAAACTTAAGGAAGTTGTACCCTTTAGCGTGTATAACGGGATTCAGACAATAACTCTGAAAGATACACTCATGGTCAAAATTTAAGGAAGTTATACCTTTTAACATGTATATCGGGATTGAGACAATAACTCTGAAAGATACACTCATGGTCAGAACTAAAGAAGTTGTTACTTTTAACATGTATATCGGGATTGAGACAATAACTCTGAAAGATACACTCATGGACAAAACTTAAGGAAGTTGTACCTTTTAGCATATATATCGGGATTCAGACAATAACTCTGAAAGATAAACTTATGGAAAAAACTTAAGGAAGTTATACCTTTTAGCATGTATATCGGGATTCGGACAATAACTCTGAAAAATTCACTCATGAAAAAAACTTAAGAAAGTTGTACCTTATAGCATGTATATCGGGATTCAGACAATAACTCTGAAAGATGCACTCATGGACAAAACTTAAGGAAGTTGTACCTTTTAGCATGTATATCGTGATTCAGACAATAACTCTGAATGATATTTGATACACAATAACCTTTATTGAAGACACACCAGATAACTAAGTGTGAAAAAAATTGTCTCTATCTACTTCAAAAGACGTTCCACTTTCTCAAGAGTTGTCCATGAGTCCTAGTGTCTAAAGATGAAGTAAACATACATTTACTGTAAAAATATAGAATGGCATAAATATATGGTATTTGAAAATGTTTCTTGTGAACGTTATAGAATGATGGGATTGAGTGAAAGCGGTTTGTTACAGCATCATCACGTCATTCCAACCGTGCATCTCTGCGGATGATACACGCCGTGTGGCTGATAGCCGCCATCGTGTTGACTACTGGGTTTGGAAGCGATCTACGTTCACGTCTTACCACGCCGCTACCTCAGCCACGTCTCAACACGGCTGGGGACCTCCTGGCACAGAAGAACCTACGTGTCTCTACTGTCATAGAATCCGCCATGACTGCTTTCTTTAAGGTTTATTTTTTATTCTTCATAAACCGAATTCTCCTTTCACAATAATGAGCATGAAGACCTTATAATACCATATAATTAAGCTTATGATTGTAGAACGACATTTTAAAAATATCCCGCATGTGTTTCTTTTGAACGAAAAATCGAAATTTATTTTAAGGAGAAATAACGATCATTTCTAACCTTAGGGATGAAGTATGAAAGGATGAATTGTGAAGAGTAATGATAAACGGAAAAATGAAGTGTCCAGGGATGGGAAGTGTCTCTTTGGAAGAGCATATCTGCCCTTCAATGGGAGAACATACATGTCTGCCCTAAAGCTTGAGACCTCTTTAATAAATTAAAAAGTAATACATCTTCAGAAACTTTTGTAATTATATATTTAAATTATCTTATTTCTGAGAATGTTAAAAATAATCAATTTTTTGTGTAGATACTGTCAAATTTATTTGAAGACTGAATTTGTTACAGGGCAGTCAGATCCCAGAAATGAAGCAGCTGTGGAAGGTGATCCAGGCTTCTGGGGGATTGTTGACTCTAAAAGAGGCCATAGGATCGGAGAACTTCAGGGATATTCTTAGAGGCCGTACGGTATGTGTACCATCTCACAGTGTTCTCATGGCATGTGTACCATCTCACAGTGTTCCATGGTAGGTGTACCATTCTCCAGTGTTCCATGGTATATGTACCACTCCTCATTGTCTAACGGAACGTGTACAATTCTCAATTGCCCAACACTGGCTGTCCCAATTCCCAGTTTACACAAGGCAGCTAAATTCTCTCCAATACACCACGGTGGGTGAACCATCTTACAATGCCCACACAGTATGAGCAATAACTTTCAATGCACTAAACAGGACCTTTGGGAGAGGCCGTTGCTTATCATAAAACAGCTGGAGGAGCTTTGACTCATGGAATTGGTGTAATCTTTCCACAAGGGAATAAGAAACAACAACAACACAGTCTATAAACAGCTGGAGGAGCATGGACTCATGGAATTGGTGTAATCTTTACACAAGGTGATAATAAGCAACAACAACACTGTCTATAAACAGCTGGAGGAGCATGGACTCATGGAATTGGTGTCATCTTTACACAAGGGGATAAGAAACAACAACAACACTGTCTATAAGCAGCTGGAGGGGCATGGAATCATGGAATTGGTGTAGTCTTTACACAAGGGGATAAGAAACAACAACACTGTCTATAAACAGCTGGAGGAGCATGGACTCATGGAATTGGTGTAATCTTTACACAAGGGGATAAGAAACAACAACAACACTGTCTATGAACAGCTGGAGGAGCATGGACTCATAGAATTGGTGTAATCTTTACACAAGGGGATAAGAAACAACAACAACACTGTCTATAAACAGCTGGAGGAGCATGGACTCATGAAATTGGTATAATCTTTACACAAGGGGATAAGAAACAACAACAACACTGTCTATTAACAGCTGGAGGAGCATGGACTCATGGAATTGATGTAATCTTTACACAAGGGGATAAGAAACAACAACAACACTGTCTATAAACAGCTGGGGGAGCATGGACTCATGGAATTGGTGTAATATTTACACAAGGGGATAAGAAACAACAACAACACTGTCTATAGACAGCTGGAGGAGTATGAACTCATGGAAAAGATGTAATCTTTACACAAGGGGATAAGAAACAACAACAACTAACTCTCAGGATTCAATTGTAGCTGTGATATCCCATAGCTCCACACTGACCACTGAGTCCACTCCAGGTCCTTCTGGCCGAACACTACGGAATGATGAACCGAGCCGTGGTGCTCTGCGCCAACTCCGAGATCCTCAACAGCGGCTCCCACTTCTACTACTCGGAATTTCGTCCATTCTTCCTCAACTTCCACGTAGCCTACCGCAAAAACCTGGACCGACAGATCGTATCTCAGATAAACCGACTGTAAGTCCATTTCATAATTTGACTATCACCTAACAATTAGTTATGTCTAACTGGCCTTGTACTTATTGTTTACGGAAGATTGCTCGATGTAAATATTTATATGTAATTCTACTGTCCATAGTTTGCTTAAAACCTATTTCTAAGATTCCACCCTTCCTCCTCTTTCAATGCCTTCCTCTACTGAGAGTGGGCCACATGGTCTCTCCATATCTCCCTCCTTCAGTGCCTTCCTCTACTGAGGGAAGGCCACATGGTCTCTCCATATCTCCCTCCTTCAGTGCCTTCCCCTACTGAGGGTGGGCCACATGGTCTCTCCATATCTCCCTCCTTCAGTGCCTTCCTCTACTGAGCGTGGGCCACATGGTCTCTCCATATCTACCTTCTTCAATGCCTTCCTCTACTGAGGGTGGGCCACATGGTCTCTCCATATCTCCCTCCTTCAGTGCCTTCCTCTACTGAGGGTGGGCCACATGGTCTCTCTATATCTCCCTCCTTCAGTGCCTTCCTCTACTGAGGGTGGGCCACATGGTCTCTCCATATCTACCTTCTTCAATGCCTTCCTCTACTGAGGGAAGGCCACATGGTCTCTCCATATCTCCCTCCTTCAGTGCCTTCCCCTACTGAGGGTGGGCCACATGGTCTCTCCATATCTCCCTCCTTCAGTGCCTTCCTCTACTGAGCGTGGGCCACATGGTCTCTCCATATCTCCCTCCTTCAGTGCCTTCCTCTACTGAGCGTGGGCCACATGGTCTCTCCATATCTATCTTCTTCAATGCCTTCCTCTACTGAGGGTGGGCCACATGGTCTCTCCATATCTCCCTCCTTCAGTGCCTTCCTCTACTGAGGGTGGGCCACATGGTCTCTCCATATCTACCTTCTTCAATGCCTTCCTCTACTGAGGGTGGGCCACATGGTCTCTCCATATCTACCTTCTTCAATTCCTTCCTCTACTGAGGGTGGGCCACATGGTCTCTCCATATCCCCCTCCTTCAGTGCCTTCCTATACTGAGGGTAGGCCACATGGTCTCTCCATATCTCCCTCCTTCAGTACCTTCCTCTACTGAGGGTGGGCCACATGGTCTCTCCATATCTCCCTCCTTCAGTGCCTTCCTCTACTGAGCGTGGGCCACATGGTCTCTTCATATCTCCCTCCTTCAATGTCTTCCTCTACTGAGGGTGGGCCACATGGTCTCTCCATATCTCCCTCCTTCAATGTCTTCCTCTACTGAGCGTGGGCCACATGGTCTCTCCATATCTCCCTCCTTCAATGTCTTCCTCTATTGAGGGTGGGCCACATGGTCTCTCCATATCTCCCTCCTTCAATGTCTTCCTCTACTGAGGGTGAGTCACATGGTCTCTCCATATCTACCTCCTTCATTGTCTTCCTCTACTGAGGGTGGGCCACATGGTCTCTCCATATCTACCTCCTTCATTGTCTTCCTCTACTGAGGGTGGGCCACATGGTCTCTCCATATCTCCCTCCTTCAGTGCCTTCCTCTACTGAGGGTGGGCCACATGGTCTCTCCATATCTCCCTCCTTCAGTGTCTTCATCTACTGAGGGTGGGCCACATGGTCTCTTCATATCTCCCTCCTTCAATGTCTTCCTCTATTGAGGGTGGGCCACATGGTCTCTCCATATCTCCTCCGCCATTCTCTTCATCTCCTCATGTCGTCCAGTCCATTGTTTTAGATCGTCTGTGTATCCCTGTATCCCTTCAGTGTAACATATATAAACAGAATGATCCAATACAGTATTAGAGCTCTGAGAAGCAGTCTGGTGGATTGAATTGACGAAACAGCTGTGAGGGTTCACTACTGATATGTCAAGCCCTTCCAATATAGTTTTTCATCGCAATAAGGACAGTATAAGGTTTTTTTTTTAAAGGAAACATTCATGCTGTAGTGTGATTCCATTTCATATATATAAGCCCATATGTACAAATACTCAAGCATTCGACTGTTCAATAAAAAGGTTTAGAATGAAATCAAATCTTAAACAATATTAAGGGGTATAACACCTTAATAATAATATAATATATTGCGGTTTATTATTGTAGAACGACATTTGAAAATTATCCCGCATGTGTTGTTTCTTTTGAACGAAAAATCGAAATTTATTTTAAGGAGAAATAACGATTATTTCTATCCTTAGGGATGAAGTATAAAAGGATGAATTGTGAAGAGTAATGATAAACGGAAAAATGAAGTTTCCAGGGATGTGAATCGAACCCACAGTGTTCCACTTACCGGGCAGATGCCATGTCCACTAGGCTACCCCCCCCCCCCCCCCCCTGGATATATTTCATACACCTTAATAATGTTAAATAATAATGTATAAAATAAGGTACATATATCAAGATTACAGGTAAAGCTTCTTTTTGAAATGTTTCATCCACAAATCTCTCTAGCCTTCGAACATTGAAGACTTCTGCAGGAGTACATAAAAACGATAAAACATTTATAAAACAACAAACAACAACAACAAGAAGGCTTTTATTAGGGCTCATTGCCCTGTATGGATTCGCCATACAACAACAAAATAACACAGTAATTTTTCCTCCCTTTCCCCATGTGCACGGGAGCCTTTTTTTGAAAAGGGACTTATTTACACATTTGTTCTAAAACTTTCCTGACTACCTCTTTTGTGTATGAATCTATTTACAATTGATCTGTAGAAATTATAGGGTTCTATTTCTGTGTTTTTCTGAAATAGTTCTCAGCGTCTTCAGTGGGTTGCTAAATCCCCAGAAGGTGTTTTTAAGACGAAAAAACATTTATATGTTTCTATATACTTCAGTTAAAGACCAGAGATGCCTGAAAGTTCAAGATTATGTATATTAAAATTAAAAAGAAGCATATCTCCAGAAACCTCTACATGGGATTGATTAATTAATATCCAGAATATTTAAATATATATATATATATATTCATATTGATCAAATCAAAGAATGCAAATATTTAGGTGAAGAAAGAGAAAAAAAACTCTTAAAAACACCTTCTGAAGATATAGCAACCCACTGAAGACGCTGAGAACTATTTCAGAAAAGAAAAATATAGCAATAGAACTCCATGATTTCTACAGATCTAATTGTAAATAGATTCATACATAAAAGAGGTAGTGAGGAAAGTTTTAGAACAGATGTGTGAATAAATCCCTTTTCAAACAAAGGCTCACGTACACATGGGAAAAGGTAGAAAAAAATTACTGTATTATTTTGTTGTTGTATGGCGAATCCATAAAGGGCAATGGGCCCTAATAAAAACATTTTTGTTGTTGTTTTTGTTGTTTTATATTGATTCAATATATCCACCTTCTTTGTATACATTAGATTCAGCGTTGTTATCAACTTGCAAAAACACTTTGGTAAAACATCTTATCAAACTCTCTTCTTCTTCTTCTTCCTTTCCTTCTTTCATATCTTCACTCAATCATATTAGGGTATCAAGTTGGGACCCTTGATGGTGTCTGTTTGACAACCATCATGACTGGATGAAGTAAAATGTCATTAAGACTGGGAGCACAACTCAGTGGCAGCCCGACTTAGCTCCAAAATAAATGGCCGCCTCTGACATGAGGAACAGACACCATGTACAGCCGCTCTTAACATGGAGTACAAACACTGCTCATCCTGTATCCCTGGAGACCTTACAGGGTACTATCAGCATGGCCAGCTGAGCCCAGGTTGTTTAGTGAGCTTTTAACTGCTCCCCCTCTTCCTTTTTCATCCGGGCTTAAGACCGGCAAAGGCGGAGATTCCAACTCTGGATATCACCAGTATGGATGCACTGAATCCATCTTTGTATTGTGTTTCTATCCATGACTACCTTTCCATACACAGACTTTAGCATCGAGTGAATTATAGTTTGCATCACTTTCAAATGTATAACCAGGTAAAAGTGATTCAATCTTAAAAACAAGAAGAAATCTAAGGTTGCCAGGTAAATGCTGTAGGTAGATGATGTCTCCATTATCGTCCATTTTAGAACTCCGCCTTTGCCGGTCCCAAGCCCGGATAAAATAGGAGGGGGGGAGCAGTAACAAGCTCACTGAAAAAACTGGGCTCAGCTTGTCATGCTGATAGTACCCTGTAAGGTCTCCAGGGATACAGGATGAGCAGCGTTTGTACTCCATGTTAGAAGTGGCTGTACATGGCGTCTGTTCCTCATGTCAGAGGCGGACATTTCTTTTGGAGCTAAGCCAGTGGCCTGCCACTGAGTACTGATCCCAGTCTTAATGACAAAGGCAGACGCATTCTACTTCACCGAGTGCGAAGATAAGAAAGAAGAAGAAGAGAATTTCCTGAATGACCCATTATGATGAAGGTAGCCGTACTGCCAATGGCTAAAAGAGGTTGTTTCAGGATCCATCAAGTTGTAGAGGCGGGCTTGATGGACCATTGGCTTGCTAGACTGAGCCGTGACTGGAATATTTGCAACGCCAAGCTTCGAGGATCCGATATTTCAGCCAGTCCGTTGGACCATGAGGCAGCTAAAGGACTCTATTTTCTGTATCTAGCCTGTCTCGGACTCTCTGGAGCTGTCTTCATCCTCGAGCTGGTAGTGGGACGGCGGAAAAAGATTTATAGAGCATGAAGTTGTGCACAGTTTATTTCAATAGCTGTCTTATATCTGTATTCAAGTAGCAATAAACACTCATAGGCAAAAGGAAGTTGTACCTTTTAGCATGTATATCGGGATTCAGACAATAACCCTGAAATGTACACTCATGGGCAAAACTTAAGGAAGTTGTACCTTTTAGCATGTACAGTCTACTCTCGTTATAACGCCACCATCCGGATTTTGCAAAAAAGCGGCGTAAGGCGAGGGTGGCGTTGTATTGAACACGTTTAAAATGTGAAATTTAAAGATACAATAAATTATTTATAACAATTAATAATAACAATTTATACTCTAAGTCAATATATAGAATGCAAAACCGGCATTAATTGATTAATATGATAAATAGAAAGCATTAATTTATAATTTATTCATAAAAAAGTAATTACATTTTCTTGAAGAAGTCTGTGATCACAACTTGTGTTTTCTCTCCCTCACTTATGCCATAGACACGGTGTAGCAAATCCGCAGATAGATTGATGTCGTCAGATGTTGCTCTCTTGGAGTGCTCAAAAAACAACAATAGTGATACTGATAATAGACTCTTGGAATGGGTATTTAGATTAACTATGGACAGAAGCTTTGAGGTTAGTAGAATTTTACATACAATTATAAATATACTAGCCGAATGACCCGGGCAACGCCCGTGTTTTACCCGATTGAATGATTTTATTCAAATACTATTTGTTACAATTATCATATTAGTTACGTATTGTGGACGTGTATAGTTGACAAACATACATACATACATACGCTGACTTTTATATATATAGGGATAATAATATAAATGAGTTTTAAAAATTGTAAAAAAAGAAAAAAAATGCATCGGCCGGGAATCGAACCCAGGCCGCCCGCGTGGCAGGCGAGCATTCTACCACTGAACCACCGATGCTTATAAGAAATGGCCCTATTTGGGTATTTATTCCATTCACAAAAGCAAACGATGACAGAATTGTTGATGACTCTGATACTTGTATTTATAATTATGTTAGCATAATGAATTAGTCAGTATTCCCATGGTCTCCAGCGAAGAGGTGTGAATTGACTTTTTGAAAATATACATAATTATAAAGATAGAAGCTTCTATAGAAATAAATAAAATAAGCCGAAATAGCTCAGTTAGGAGAGCGTTAGACTGAATATCTAAAGGTCCCTGGTTCGATCCCGGGTTTCGGCATCTTTTTTTTTAATTTTTAAATTTCATCCGTGACAGAGGCCAGGAAAGACGGTCGTGACTATATTATTTATAAATATATAATCTATATATATAAAATTGAATGTCTGTCTGTCTGTCTGTCTGTGAAATTTTGGGATATTATTAGGTATATCACCGGGATGGTTTTTGAAAAATAATTTCATGAATTTCTTGAATATCCTTAGAGTTATTTGCAGATTTGTAGATTTAACTCGCAAGCAGCGCCCCCATTGTGACGATGATAACAAGTTTTCTTATCACTAAGTTTGTTATCTTAAATATTATTTATCAAAAGTAAGATTATCTCAGGATGACACGGCAATTTATTTGAGACAAGAATAATGATACAATTCCAAGGCGAAGATACTATTCCTTTAACTTCCAATTACCGAGGGAACCAATTAATATTAATTTTATTCAACTTATCGAGTATTTTTCAAGGGACCGGGAAAAATGTTCACTAGATAAAACGATGATTTTGTAATGTAGAAAATTAGGAAAGACAAAATTCAGGATGACACGGCACACAGGGACCGGGAAAAAATGTTCACTTTATCGAGAGATTCAAATTTACGAGTTTCAAATTATCAAAATATATCTAATTTTTCAAAATAAGTTTATAGAGAATTGTTTTAACACAAATGTTCGTTAGTAAAACCTTTACTTGGGTAAAACCTCGGGCGAAGCCGGGTACATCCGCTAGTATAATATATTGTCGCGGAAATAAATAAAGCAAGGGCAAATTTGAGAATAAATAATTTATTATAAGGGGTATTTATAGGGAGAGAGAGTTTTGTACAACTTACCCCCAAGTTAAAAAAGATAATCCTAATGAACGGCGTTAGCCACCGTCCCGTTTTCCTTATTTACAGATCAGCTTCCCAGAAGCCCCCACACCTGTGGTCCACCCCCCCCCCCCCCCCCCCCCCCCCCGGGGTCCAGGGATGATTGACAGTTGTTCAATCTGGATGGAGCTACTTGACATTACTTCCTCTTTAGAGAAAACAGCGACCCGCTGATTAGCTTGTCTCAGCCCTTGTTCTGGATGGAAATCTATCACGGCCTGTGTTCCCTAGCAGAATGGAATGTTGTTCTTCAGGGTCCAGGTAGGGCTTCATCCGAATGACATGAACGATATCCTTGGATTTCCGTGATCGGGGAGACGAGTCCACGGGCTCTACTTCATACATAACTTCTGAAAGCTTCTTGGTCACCTTGTAGGGACCGAAGTATCTCTTCAGTAGCTTTTCTGAGAGCCCTACTTCTCGTACACAAGATCATCCTTCTGGTAATAGACTGGAGTATGTTTCTGGTCGTAAAGTCTACGGTCTTTCGCCTGTGATTGTAGAAGGCGTGATCGGGAGAGTTGACGCGCTTCCTCAGCTCTGGTCACAAGTTCTCCAACGTAGTCGTCAGAGATCTCATCTGGTAGGTAGGGTAGTACGGCATCGATGTAGGTCTCGGCCTCG